GTAAAAACTAAAGTGTATTTAAAAGCCCATTTTAGAGCTTATAGATGTGTCAAACCATGTGAGCTTACGTTTTTAACTTGTCTTCAAAAATGCTAGGGTAGTAAATTTTTGGCAAAAGGATAAAAAAATCGCTAAACTAAAATTCAATTATCATTCAAGTTCTTATTGGTTTTTGCAATTAATTAAATTATCAAATATTTATTTTCATCAATGGAGTCCTTCTTTTAGGAAAAATAGTTAATTGTTTTTATCGAATAGATGACTTAATTAAATGAAAATAGATGTTTAAATGTTTAATTTGGCGAAAATATATATTTAAGGGTTCAATTAATTAAAAATAAAAGATTTAAGATTTAATTGATTGCAATAAAATATCAAAAACTTAAAATGATGATTAAATTTTTGTTTTAAATTTTTTTTTATCCTTTTACCTATATATTTTTTAGTTTTTCATAGTGACAGTGACAAAATTAATGTGTCACTAAAGGTTTTTTATTTTTTTAAAAAATTTAAAGTAGTAAATTTGAATATTTCATAGCAAATAAAAATTTTTTAAAAAATAGTAGATTCAAAAAAATCATAAATTGATGATAAAGTTGAAAAACTACACAAGTGGATTTTACATAAAATAAACTAAATTTGGTGTTTTAATAAGAGTTTATATTTGATACATTGTTAGTATATAAATTTTATACATTATCAATTAATTAGATCATGCACTTCATTAATGAATAAATATCAACTTTTAAAATAAATATATAAAAAATTAATTTTTTAAAAAATCTTACTTATTAATAAAGTGATATTATCTAATTCATCTCATTAATGAGCTAGTATTATGATTCACTAATGGTGTATAAAATTTATATACCGTTAATACATCAAATATAAATCCTTTTAGTATTTCAATATATTTTATTCTATTTGCACAAAAAAAATTGAATTTTTTTTAATTTCATTCATTGACAAATAATTTTATAAATTATATCGAAAATAATCACTTTTATTCTTCTTTAATTTCTAAAGAAAATAAACCTCAATAAAATCATTTTTACTGCTATTAGTTAGTGATTTTGGGTGTAATTATAGAAATGATTCAAGATAATAACAACTGATCTTTTTAAGTTATTTAAAGTTGTAAAAATAAAAGTGATCCCCCCTTAAACTTGTTAAACACATGGAATATTATGTTATTAGTGTTTTATGTAAGGTTGTTGATATCGTAATATATAATTTTTTTATTCTTTTTTAAATAGTACATATCAATATTTGTTGTTTTGGTATATTATTTCAAATTTTTTATTTAAAACAAATATATTTATAAATATAAATGGGTTTGCACATAATAATACTACTAATAATATGTAAAATAAATATACAATATCTTAAAAAACCAAATAAATAAGTTTAAAAGTATAACAAATAATATCATCAATTTATCATAATATTTTAAACACTTGATCTAATCATATGATATTTAAATAAATATTTTCCTTTTTTATGTAAAAATATATTAAGATAAAAACAAAAAAATTAAAAGAAAAATTTTAGCTTTAGGATTCTTAAACTTTAAAGAGAGAACACAATTGCCTTCTTAGAAAAGATTAAAATATTTATGAATTTTGTTTTAAAAAATAAAGTATAAAAGAAAACAAATTACAGTAAAAAAATAGAAAAATTCAACTATTAAAGATTATTTTGTTCATTACTTTTATTTTTATTAGGTTAGAAAAAATAAAAAAAAAGATAAATTAAAAATTATAAAACATATTTTATATTTATGTATCGACCGAAACAAACAAAAATAATTGATATTATTCGATATCAAATTCAATACGAAAAATTATCTTTAAGTGTATCATAATTTAAAATAACTAAAACATATCAACCTATCAACTAATACCAAAACAAAATTTACAATAATGATTTTATGTCCATAGGCTTTTTAAAAGGAAAATGAAGGAAAGTTGAAATTAATGTAAAAGTTGTGGTAGGTTATAGTTTAGTTGTGAATTTTAAAAGATGTTAATTTGTTCAATCCGGCGCATGTTATTAATCAATGGGACTCACTTGTTCATTATTCCTTTTTCTTTTTTCAATTAATTTGTCATTAAAACACAACTTGGCCGTAATTAAGGCCAACCATTCTAAAGGGTTAAAAAGAAAAAAAAATTCAGTGCAATTATCTAATATTGTCACATATCAAAGGATTGAAACTTGAAATTCAATCAAAGTTCTTTGATATATTTGTTTTTGGAGTAACTTTCAATTAATCAATATATATAAAATAATTTAAAACTTAATTTAATTAGTCCATACTGTTATTCTTAAAAAATGTCATCAAATATATATGATATTTAAATCCTAATATCCGCAATCTTTTTTTATATTCTCAAATTGTAACTCCTTTTATTAAAAAAAGTAGTTAAAAATTCAAGAATTATTAAGTTAGTAGAAAGACTCATGGAACAAAATTAAATAATCCCAATATGGAAAGAAATGAAAATAAATGAAAATAGACATATCCAACAAAGTAAGTCATAAAAATGAGTCACACCATACAAAGCTGTAACATATGACAGTAAAAATTCTGGAGAACTTCAACAGACAACTAACAATTAACCATTCTATTAAGATATAAACCTAGTAAGGAAAAAGTCTCATTTCCAAACTAACAATCTCTATTTGCACCCGTTAAGATCAGTCTAGTTAGTAAAGAGATGATTTTTTTTTTCTTTTTTGTTAATCAAGATTTATCTTGTGAGAAATGATTCGAGAATAAAACACCTTAACATGAAATAATATAATTTAAAAAAGGTTCAAGTAAAAAAAATCAGATCTTACAACAATTAAAAAAAAAAAAAAAACTAATTTAAAAGTGAAAGTACAATTGAAGAAAAACACAAATGTGTGAAAACAAAAGGGTAATTTTAAAAAAGTAAATAAGGGGAAATGTAATGTGGTACTCCACAAAAATTTTACTCGCAAGATATCAGCAGGATTTAATTGGCAGGAGCAGCCCACCAATGGCTATTGTAAATTACAAATCTAACTACCATTTATAACGGTTAATATAAAGACTTGATGGCTATCTGGCATCCATAAAATTGGCGGTGTAATTTAACAGTTGAGAAAATTAAAAGAGATGGTTTGTTTGCAAAAGACAGAATAGCAAAGGCAGATGAAGGGCTGAATGGTAAATGGGGTTTGGGGATTTGATTAAAGGGTAAAGATTTTTTGTGATAATATAGCCGTTTAGAGGCGAAAAAAAGACATAAACTACTTTCTCCTTTTGGCTGTCCTATGACTGACTATTCTTTTATCTTCTATTTTGATCTCTATTGTTGTTTAAAAATAAATCACATTTTATCTTTCATCTTTTGATTTAGTGATTAAAATTTTTTTTTAAAATATGAATGTGAGTTTTAATCTCATCCTTTTCTTTTTTTTTTTCCCTTTGAGCGTTTGCTCTCCTTTAAAAGAAACAAAAAAATAAAAGAAAATAAAGCCCCATTTCTTACTTTTGGTCTGAATTTTCGTACGAACCGTTTTATACGATATATGAAGAGAGTTTACTTTTCTAAAATTCACTCCTTACATTACATTCCCACATCCCGCCTTCTCTATTCAATCTTTATAACGCTACTAGACTAGACAAGGTTTTTGATAAAGTAGTTCATTCTTTATGTCAGCAATTTTTCAACACTGCCCTTTTGCATGGCAGAAAAAAAAAAGTATATTTTATCTTCCAAAGTTTCTATTTGCATTATTATGGAGCTAAGGTCCCCACCTCTAACCACTCTCAGTCCCCAAATTAAGGTTTTAAAAACTGAGAATGGTCCACCCTTTTATGGATGATTCCATCTATTATTAACTAGCTTTTGAGTAACACAAATTTGGGACCCTCTCAACTCTAAAAGGGACTATATATGGACTATTATTTATCATACAAATGAATGACCTAGCTGTGCTGAATTGAAATGAAATGAAATTTGTTTTCTACTATTAACTATTTTTTATTATTCAAGGAAAACCATATAACTAGCACATCCATGTGAGAGCCTCACAAGGTTATTTAAGTCTAATCCAATCCAAAACCATCCTAAAAAAGCCTTAATCTTTTCTTTTTTTTTTGTAATTTTTAATCTACCCTAAATCCAAGATATTATGCTCCTAAATTCCTTTAAATTTATAACTTTCAAATATCAATTTTAATGATATTTTAACTAATCCAAAAATTAATCAACCAAAAAAAATTAATCTTCATGAGAACTAAGAAGTTTATGTATTACTTTCATTTTCTTCCATGATACAAGGCTTTATTGACAAACAATTCTAGCATTTATGGTTTTTTTTTTTATTATTCTGAATTATTATCTTACCAAGTGAAAAGAAATAATATACAACTCATATGTATATTTGAGGTTCACGAGTGCATTAAGAGAAAGTATTTTTAATTAATAATAAGAGATAATGTTTAGATTTACCACTTTTCTTGCATTGATAGATCCAAAAATTCATTCATTTTTTTATTCTATATTTTTTAATATAGTTAAAAGATGATCAAAAGTTAAAGGATAAAAATGCATTCCATAATAAAATCAGGGCTAGGCTTCAGCCTCCCAGGTTTGGACTTGGACGATTCAGTCTGGGCTCACCTTCAGGCCCCAAATTATGATCCGAATCAGACCAAAAACAAGATATTTATGGGTCACCTTCACGGACCAAATTAACACCAATTAGGCCCAATTAATGGTAATTTTTAATTGAAAAATTAATTCTAGAATTATCCACACCAAAACAGACGAGCTAGCCCACTTGTCACTCAAATAAAAAAGTTGAAACCTTTATATTTTCTTTTTTCTTTTTTTTTCTCAAAGACCCAATGAAATACCACCACATGTCACGTTCTCCAGCAAAATCGTTTTCATGTTTGTTTCTCGAACTTGACAAAACATAAAAGGAACTAACAACAAAGAAAAAGAAAAGATATTTAAAAAAAAAATAGAAAAGAGAAAGTCACCAGCCTGACTCCAACAGTTGAAAGTCTCTGCTTTTTCTCCCATTCTCAGGCAAAACGAACCCCCCCCCCCCCCCCCAAAAAAAAAAAAGCCTATCGTCTCCCTTCTTATTTTCCCTCTCAAAGGTATTTTATTTTATTTATCCGTTTATATCTATTTTCTCTTTTAATTTTCGCTCTTAATTTAACTGATTTTCTTCCATTTTCGATTAATAATTCTTAGTTCATATTTCGTCTTCTAGATCAGAAATTAAGAATTTATTATTATTGCTATTATTAACATTCTGTTTGACTTTTTGGAAGCATTTGATTCTCTCTATTTTGTTTTTCCCTCAATTTGTTGCTTTTATTAGGTTACTTTTCCATTAATTAATTAACTAACCTCATTTTCTGTATAATCAGACTGTAAAAAGCTTCAAAACCGCTAATTTTTTTTTTTTAAAATGCTAATTTTAACATCAACCTAATCAAGATTCTTAATTTAACCTAATTTAGGAAGCTATGAGTGAGTATTAGTTATTATGAATAAGTATTAATTGTCAAAACAGCACAGAAAATTCATTATTTTGATTTTATTATTATTATATATATATTTTTTTTTGTGCAGGAAAAGCTACAAGAGGAAGTAGAATTGATGGTGTTGTTGTTGAAGGTTTTATAACTGATTAAATAACCGCCCAGTGGCATTATTGTAATTTAATCGAGGGGGGGTGTCACCTGATGTGGCCTTTATATTTTTTGTTGAACAAGATTCTTAAAACAGACGAAGAAGACAAAGAAGAAAAAGATGGGGATCACTTGAATGTGGCAGCAGGATGCTGCCCTTTTGAGCTGCCATCTGATAATCGAATTGGCTACAAAGCAGTATTGCCTCAATCACATTTTGTTCAAGTGAGTGCATTAGGGTTTTAAGTTTCCTTGCGTTGCAAGTTTATTTTGTTTATGTTTCGATAGATAGGGTTTCTACTTCTGGAAAATTGTAATTGGTATTTGTTTGTCTAAACTGTACTTTGGTTTTTATAGGTTCCACATATAAACCAGCTGTTCTCTTGGGACTGTGGACTTGCTTGTGTTTTGATGGCTTTGACTACTGTTGGCGTTAGTGATTGTAGTATTAAGAACCTGTCCAAGCTTTGTTGCACAACTAGGTATGTTATCATTACAAAGAAGTTAAAACTTTTATTTGATTATTTTATGAGAAGAACTATGTAAAACTAGGAAAATTTGGACATGATGTAACTTCCTACCATTTCATTTAATCTTTAAGATAGGCTGTATTTGGATAAATAAGTTGATACAAGCCATTTCTGATGAATATTATTGTTGACATCTTGTATGCAGCATTTGGACCGTTGATCTGGCTTACTTACTGCAAAAGTTTTCTATTAGGTTTTCCTATTACACTGTAACATATGGAGCTAACCCAATCTACTTTGGTGAGACATATTACAAGGTAATTTGCCTTTGCACCGTATGCAATTTCGTAATTACTATGTGTCTGTATTATTGGGTTTTTGCTTGGTTCAAATTGATGAGCAAGTGTCATGTTAGCATGCCTGTTTATTGCTTCAAGCTATGCACCATATTATATGATTTAAAATGGTATGCATGCCTTACTAACTGCTTAAATAGCCAGTATGTGATTTTCCATTAGTTTGTGCTATTGTAGATCTAACTAGCTGTGCAATGTTTCTGCATGACTGCATTTTTCCAGCAGCATGAATCTGTGGCACACTGCCTATATTTTCATTGATTTGCATCCTTAGAAGGAAATTAGATCCAAAATTTTTTCTGTGGGTTTCCTCCTTCCCACCCCATTCCTTGTTTTGATAGTGTAGTTTCAGGAAATAAGTTCCCGTGATTTATCTTTTTCAGTTGATTATTGCAAACATAATAATCAAAAGAGATTACGTTGGGTATTCTGCAGGAACAACTGCCTAATGATCTGGTTCGAGTAGATAAGCTATTCCAAAAAGCAGTTGAAGCTGGAATCAATATACTGGTATTCGTCCAAGACCATGTTTTCTTTTATCTCTTTGCATTAATTTATTATAGGGTAGAACATATATTCTTACTGCAATTTGATTGCTGTAGTGATAAAGTTTTTCCTTTTAAATGTTTATAGCAGTAGTTTATTTTCATATTAAAGAAGGAAAATGGTTGGTAACGTCCAATGTTTGAAATTAAACAGATTGAATTCCTTCATTTCATATCTATATTTTAGCTTCTTCAAACTTAGTTGAATGCTTAGTTCTTAACCTTGGCCCTTGTTGATGCCAATTGAAAAGAAAAAGAAAACAAAAACAAAAGCCTTGTTGCTGATGGAAATTTCAGCTTCTCTTACTATGTCTTTCTGTACATGACATAATTTTGATGGTCTTTGTTTCAATTTAACTTTTTTCTTGGGGTTTTGAACTGTCCCCATTTTACAGTGCAGGTCAATCAGTGGAGAAGAAATCTCTAGCTGGATCTTGTCAGGGAAGTATATTGCAATTGCTTTGGTTGACCAGTACAAATTGAGGTATATATTCTTCTTTTTAGATTTTTTTCCTAGTTGACTACCATTGCACAACTTCCGCTGTTTCCTTCAGACTATGAAATGAAGCAGTCCCCATATTAATATATCTGGTTTCCTCTGTTTTTTATTTCCCCCTTTCTGTGCCTCTGTATTTGAGCAGGTGTTATACAAAGGGTTAAGTTCTTGCATGATAATGACTTCTTATCTAGTGATGATATTCTAGTGCTGATTTCCTCTGCCAAAATCTTCATTGCAGTCGGTCTTGGGTGGGGGATGTCATCATCCCTGGATTTCAAGGCAATGATTTTGGATACACTGGTAAGTGTTGCATGCTTTTAGAACGTTGTTCTTCATATACCCATTGAAAATATAAATCTGAATGCTAATAATGAGAATACATATCCTTGGTACTTTGTGTTTGAATGACAAATAGTTTCCTGTGTAACAGATGAAATTTTTTGTCAAGCAAATAAATATATGCTTGTGGATAATTTTCTTAAACACTATCAAGCCTGAAATCATTGTGATAATTTGTTTATGTTATGGTGTTACTTTATACAAATGCAAGACATGAAGTTTGCGGTTCTCCCCTGCTTGGGATATTGTTGCAGACTAAATTATAACTCCACCAATCAAATTTTCATATTTATTGCTTGGAACCCCAATTTTTTTTCATAGTTATAACAAAAATTCTCTTCATTTGATCAAACTTTTTGATGCTTCACAAAATTCTGTCTAGTGTTCTTATATATTGTCCATGAACTTTATACAACCATTCCACATCTGATCTCATTATTGAGAAATTTTCTCTTTTGTAGGTCATTATGTCCTGATATGTGGCTATGATGCTAAAGCAGATGAGTTTGAGATTAGAGATCCTGCAAGTTCTAGGTACTATCTAAGCTTTATTCATCACTGCTTGGCAGCTCCCTACCATGTTTCTCATATAATCTCTTTTAGTTTGCTTTGTTCAAGGTCATATAATCATTTTAATCACTGTCTTAAGGTCAGCATTGTTGGTACTTTTTAACACTAATGTTCATAAATAAGCATGTTAAGAAACTTGACTTAAGGCAGCACTTGGCAAATGGAATGCTATGCCAATATGCACTTTTCCAGAGATGTTAATGCCAGGAAAAATTATATAGAAAGCAAAAATTAGGATTGACTAAGACTGGTGGATTACCTAACAAGTTACAATTCGGGAAATTTCTTCTACCAATTTCACAATAAATGTAAAAATCTTAGTATATCATATTTGAATTTACATAAGAAGTTGCGAACATTTTTAAAGTTTTTCATAGCATAATTTGGTAATTAGAGCAATACATGTGGTGTCATAAAATATGTCAAGATTTCAAATCATATTCCATAAATTATGAAACTTTTGTGGATGACTGGAGACTTCAGTGACCATGGAGTTCAATATGTCCTGTTTTCCCTAGTTTTCTAACAACTCGTGTCTTCTTATTGCTATCATTCCTCAAAGTCAGCTTCCTCTGTTACTTCTATGAGCCTGTATCTGTCAATATTAGCTAATATTATAAAAAAGGGCTGTTATCCTTGTGCTGACATGCATGATGATTAAATGTTATCATGTGAAAAACTTTCTGATTTTCTTGTGTTCTATTCATCTTTTTGTTCTCCTTAGCTGAATGTTTCGATTGAGTTTCATTAACTTCTGTCTTCTTGATATTATCCTTGGCTAAATTTATTTATATGTTAGAACCTTGTGGTTTCACAAAGTAATTGCATACTAATAGATGGTTGATCTGACAGCTATGGATGAGGGAAAAGCATAGTTAGCAAGATGTGTTAAGCTACACAGTGTTCATAAAATTGGGTTAACAGAGTCGTATATGTCTTACTAGTGATATTTTCCTTGATGTTAATTCATCAACCCCGCAAGCTGGTTCTTGAGAAATTTGTTTTTGCTTCTGCTAGAAACATAAACTTGGGAAAGAATATGTGCAGGAAACGTGATAGGGTCTCATCAAAGTCCCTTGAAGAAGCTCGTAAGTCCTTCGGTACTGACGAAGATCTTCTTCTGGTAATTTACCTATAAAACAATCAAACTTCTGCTTTTACTGTGTTGCATTATAATACCTTATTAGTGTTGTTATTTTGTTGAAATATTTCTCCTGCATGTTTTGTTTCACATTGCCATGCAAATGACAGTAACTGAGCCTTTAACTGCCTCTCATTGTTATAGTCTGGCTGATGACTCAATTATTCCTATAATTATTGTATTTTGCTTAAACAATGTATTTAATAGTGTAATTGGGGTCTCATTCCTGCAAGGATTTAAAAAGATTAAGAGAGAATTCTATGCATGAGTCTATGCTTTCAAATACAAAGATTTCGAAAAGCTTTTCTTTTTCTTTTTTGTTCTCCAGTCTCCAGGAGGTAGTGATATGATTTTCAATTTATGGAGACGTTTGATTGCTTCAAATTTGCTCTATCCAAATGCCCTTAAAACTCAACTTTTAAGGTTACAAAAGGAGAGAAAATTTTGTGTGAATCTAATATCAGGGGTGAGCCTAGATCAAAAATTTCATCCAGATTACATCAGACTTTGCCTGAAGTAAAATGAAATGTATTTGCCTAACATTATTCATCACTTGTTTGGGCGATTGCTATGTTCCGATGCAGATATCTCTTGAGGAGAGCCGGAAGCAGAGCAACTCTGTATTATGATTTTCTCCACTGGTCTATACTAGTAGAACCTGATATTTTTCTCAGAACCGCTCAGCAGGCTGCTCTCATCATTTTCTTTACTGCACATATTTCAAGCTTGTGTATAGTAAGCTCGGCAGGATTAATAATCTCGTATGTTGTAGTTGCTTATGTCAACCTAAAATGATTTGGTTTTAATCTGCAAATTACACGCATTTGTAAAAAATAAATAACTAAATAAGTGCTTTCGTTTTGTATATGAATTGTATATTCCAATATCATTGTTGTATATAATAAAATTGTGTATTTTATATTTCTTTCGGTGTTCGGAACTTGCATGAATGAAGATTAAATGTTTTTCGTTTGATCGAATAATCTGACTCTCCTTAATTTTCCTTTTGTCCACGTTTGATCCCATTCCTTGATTGTTTCATGTTTTTGGTTAGCCCTCATGATCAGTTGTCATCCAACACGTGGAAATGTTTCCATTCCATAGTTGAATTATGCCGCTGTAAGCCTCAAACTGAGGAAATTATTACATCCATTTTCACTACCGAATCACATTGGTCATAAGCCGAACGTATTAATCTCCACGATTAGTAGAATTTATTTTGGAGGATTAGAGTTCGAAGATAAATGAGATGTAATGAAAGAGGATTATATTTTTTTACATAATTTAATACTTTTATGTATAAAAAAAAAAAAAAAACCCTCAATGGTGAGTGACAAATCAAAATTTAACACAATTAAAAAATTAAAATGAATTAAGAGAAAAATTATTGTATAAACTTTTCTCATCTCATCATAATCATAGAAGTTGTAAGTCCATAAAATAAAATAAATACAAGCTAGAAAAGCATTGTGGACTCGAACCATGGCGCGTTTATACCTAAAAAATGCAAATCATGTGCAAAAACATAGGTAACTAGCAATTAACAAATGGTATAGAAAGTTAAAGCCCAATATTTGGCTTGAACCCCATTGTTCCAGGGGTTTCCTCCCCGCACTTTTGAAACTGCCCTTGATCTTCTTATTCAATTAAATTAACGAATTTGGACTTTTCCTTGTATAACTAACTGGATTTCAAATGCCAAATATGGGCATGAAAGCACTGAAAGCACAGTGAAAGTGTTTCGATATTCTTATTATAAAGTGGGAAGGTGATGTTGGGGTGGTGGGCAGAAACATGGAAATGGAGAGATTAGAGTTTTTTTTTTTTTTTTTTTCTTTTTCTTTTTCCTTTTTCTGGCATTGGGTCAAAAGTTGCAAAGTTTGTGAGATTATAGTGGGAAAACATTTCCAAGAATCTTCCTAAACAAGGTGAGAAGGCAGCCCGACACAACCTTTGCTATATATTTCCCGCAGAAACATGCGACATGATCTTGCTTACACAGACCCCATAACTCGGTGCCCATTTTTGCACCCTCTAATCATTTTTTTTCTCGTAGGAGCAAAAGTGGGAGAAATAATTTTCGTAATCTTACAATTAGAATCTAAAATCTGTATCTAAATCTCATCCCCAGTTAAAAACAAGTGATAGATGAATGTCTTTTGGAAATAAATCCATTTAAAGGTTAATATTATCCAATTTTAACTTTCAAGAACTCATCATTGTAGGTGAAAACGTTGATGGAAAATGAAAACCATTGAAGTTCCTTTAATTTCCCAACAAGGATAAAGCTAGCAAAAATGATGGCTATTCTATTTGTGCCGAGCTTTTACCTTGAAGCGTTTTTGGTAAGATAGAAGGAAAGGATAGTTAGAGGCAAAGGTAGGGTGTATTCCCTACATTTGCACTTCAACTAGTAAGTCAGAAAGAGTGAGGTCGGAAAGAAAGTAAGAAAGAGAGAAAAAAAGTTGAATGAACTTGCCTTAATGGTGCATGGACCTTCATATTTATAAGTTATAGCAAACCATCGAGGACAATAAGGACAGCGTCGAGCTAACGTGGCACTGAATATGTCAGAATGACCTAACATGTCAAGTTAGCACAAATGACAAAAATACTCCTAATTGTCTGTTGAAGGCTTCATAGAGGGAAAAAGATCACTATATCTTTTTAACCATCAAATGCTTCTAATACTCGGTCCCCCCACTAAGCGATCTAAGTATCAGATTACTGAATGTGTGATCAATGCCCCCAATGTAAGGAGGATCGACAAAAGGAGATGACTTGAAAGTTCAATCCTTCGAAGCCAGTATTATAGATGGAGATCGATCTTAGGAGATCACTAACCTTGAGCTGTGGTTCGACCTTGTGGTTGTCTGATCTCACATGTGTGTCTTCAATTGAGTGCATAGCTAGCTTAACGCTTGCTGAAGTGATAATTGTTTTAGAATGATTTAACGTTAGCATTAGAGTTCATCTGGTCATCGTAAGACTTGTATTTTATTTTAAAAGCTTGGATTTGAGCCTTTACATTGAACTTTAATGGTGAATCGAGCTCTTAGTTCACCCTAGGGAGTCATCCGGTTTAGCTAATCCCACTTGAGGTTCGTCTAGTTAGGGCAGTCTGAAAGCATTAAATAAGGAAAGAGGTAGTATGAGTAGAAAAATTTAAAAGGGGAAGACGAAAAAGTGTCTTCCCACCTTTGCTCCTGCACTTAGCATAGCCTTTGCCATTCATATGATCTATAGCGCATTTATATAAAGAGCCATTGGGACCTCAATTTTTCACTTTTTTACTTTTTTTGCTTTCAATCTAATCTGAATTTTTCAATCTCAAAAGCATTTTGGCCTTTAGAGTTTTTCTACTCTTTCTTCTATACATATTTTTAACCATGTCTTCTAGTATGAGTCCTAGGGAGGCTGAAAGTTATTGGGTATAACCTAAGGCAGGTCAGTGTGGGCAAGACGATGACGATTTGATTCCACCATTAATCTCAAACCATAATTATGAGAAGATGACCTTCTGGTTTAATCCAATGTTAGAGAATGGGTAGCAAAGGAACGAAGAAAATGCTCGAGCAAGAAGGGAACATGTTTTGAGCACAAAAGAGCTATGTGCTTAGATAGACTTCAACCTACAAAATCCACCACCTTTCCCTATCTCTCAAGTTGGTCCATCTTCTATGGTCGACCTTACTTCATCCTCAGCTGTTCTTCCTTTTGGGTTCGATCACATCAATTTTCTTTTGCTTCTACTCCTTCCTCCATCAATGCTCTTGTTGTCACTTCCATTCCACCCCAATCGATTTTTGTTGAGATCTCATCCCCTCATAAGAGTTCTCTACCTCATCCCTCTTCCCTCGAAGTTGAGTTACTCTCAGTCACAATTCCACCTTGGAATCCTAGTCCTTCTTACGTGTCATAGTCTTCTGACGATAAAAATTATGAGAAAAAAGGTTATGAGGAGAAATAAAAGGAGAGGAGTACCTCCGCCAAGGAAAATGGTGGCAAGGAAAGGAGTCTTGTGGAGTAGGATGAATGAGCCGAGGTCCTTGTATATACTCTATGTAACCTCAACGTAATCTCTGAAGATGTGATGAGCAAACTAAAGGGTAGGGCAAATCCTAAAAATTGTCTTAACATGTGTTCAACTCATCAGGTCTATGCTCTAGTTATGTCTTTTTTTCTCAAATAGGGGTATAGTATAATAATGCCGAACTCCTCAAATCGAGTTACTAATAGACTAGCGCCACATCGATTCTGCTATATTAGGATTTCTTCATGGTCGGTCTGAGGTTTTTACTTTATCCTTTATTTGTTTCAATTTTTAATTTTTATAATTTGACTATCACTCAGCTCACTCCTAACTTTATACAATACATAGTTGTCTTAATCATTCTTTATCAACATTTACAGTGTGTTTGGATTGAGGGGAGAAGAAGGAAAATAAAGTAAAATAAAGGAATGTAAAGGAAACAAAATCCTCCTTCCCTTGTTTGGATAAATTTTTAATTTAAGGAAAGGGAAAGAGGTGGAAACCAATTAACCTTTGGTTTCCCTTACAAACCCAATTTTTTTAATACCCCAATTTGGAGGAACAGGTAGGGAAAGGAAAGTTGAAAAATATTTTTTTTTATAAAAAGACTATTATGTTCATCTTTTTATTAATACTAAAAACTTAATAAAAAAACCTAAGCAAATAACAATCATCTTGTAATTTTATCAAAGCTATCTCTTTTTTCAAGTAAGTTTCACATATCTCTTCCAATATAAAATTTTTTAATAATTTTTTGGTGATTTGATTTTAATGAATGGTTAAATATGCATAGATATATTTTTTGGGTTTATGAGATGACGAATTAGCTTAAAATCCATCAATGCATGTTTGTAAAATATCATCTTGTTTCATTTGATTAAAAATCATTTATATAGCAGCAATTATGAGGCCAGACAAGATAGCAAACATATCATGATCTAGGAGTGCTCTAAAATCATAGACAATGAAAAGTTATAATTGAAAAAAATTATTATAATGAATCATTTCCTTTTTTTTCACTATTTATCCAAACAATGGTTATTAGAATTCTTTTTCTTTCATTTCCTTTATTAATTTTAATTATCCAAACAAATGTTACATGTATCTTTTCCTTTCCTTTCCTTTCTTTTATTAATATTTATCCAAACATAGCGTTAAATATTCTTCCTTCTCTCTTTCTATTTAGGGAGTTCTTTTCTCTTAAAAAGCACCTCAACGATAGTAGGTGGGTACTACATAACAACTCGACCTAATAAGAAATACTTGCAGACTACCTAAGCCCAATTAAAAATTGGAAATTATTCTTTCTTTGCCTCAAAAAGCAAAAAATAAATAAATATGGTGAGCTAAGTGTCGAGGTTGCTTTTGAGGTTGAGGCCTAGGAAATAAAGAGTATGCCTTACGTTTTCATGGATGCACCAGTGGCTCTCTCCATCCTAAATCTATCAGATCGACATAGAATTTGAAATATATTCGTAAAGAAGAGGTCATCATTGATGCCCACGAGTTGACCTCCCTATAAGTAATAAACGAGATGAAGTATTAGGGTTGGTTTAAGGTAACCTTCTAAAATTTTATTTTAACTTGATTGTATCTAACTATTACTTGATTTTACAGAGATGGTTGACAAAGAATGACTTTGACTTTGGGCTATACCAGCATGCCTTCAAGCCCAAGAAGGGCAAAAAAAAATTTAGCTCGAGGCCCCGTCTCACGAAGGAGAGAAGTTGTCAATACCTCACTGCACCATTCCCTTACAACCCAAAAAACAAAAGTTAGGGATAGCTAGGATCTATCATCAATGTCAGCACCAACACCTCTTCTTCCTACCAAAAAACCATAAGTAAAGGCTTTCTCCTCCACCTTTGATAACTCTGAGGTTAGAGTATTAAAGCCCAGCTCAAAAAAGATATCCACTAGCTTTGAGTACGCTCCAGTTAATGACCCTATCACTAACTTGACCATGGCAAGGAAATTCAGCAGAGTCGTAATCTTTTCTCTTGGTAAACAATGATTGACTTCAACTCAATTTTATTAGTACTCTTTATTTTACTAAGTTTGAGGTCATTCTATGCAGTCTAACAAAAATTTACCTTTCAACCCTTAGATATCACTAGTGAAACCCTCCACCCTACCCTACCTCACAATGGCTCACCTATTGAG